AAAGGCTTCCTGCCCAGGAAACTCAAATAAAACGTTCGTTTTAATTAATAAATAGCAAAGACAATGAAATCATAATTTGACAAAAGGTTTTGATTATGCGGCCGGAGAAATACAAACACGGACTTGGCCCCAAAAGCGAAACAACGACGAAACAACGGACTGCAGTAGATTAATCAACTTCTGTCCGGAAGGACGGCCGGCTGGAGGCAGGATACGGTCACTGAGCTCGTCATTTGCATAACGTCAAATGCATTTACCGAGGGGTCAAGCTGTCGGGCTGTCGGACTGTCGGACTGTAGGACTGCCGTTCGTTCGTTTGTTTGTGCGAAATAATAATAAATTTCGGCTTAAGTCCACAAAGTAACGCGCCCTTCCTGGGCTTGACCTTTGACTTTCCACCCGAATGTGTGTGTGGGAGTGTGCACCCAGAGGTCAGTTCCTTTCACTTTGCATCATATAGAAATGGAAGCAGGGAAAGTTCTTTGTCTCGGGCCCTTAAAGTTATTATTTGCTTTATTTATTATGCATTGAAGTTGCGTCAAGTGCAGGCGCCCGTCCTGTCTCAGCTTCCTGCGTCAAAGAAGGCATAATTAATATTTATAATCGGAGGCCGCAAAACACACACAAATTCAACCGCACGAAATAGTCCGTGTAATTAAGAATCCTGCTGCGGAAATAATACTTTAAGTGGACAGTTGTGGGCCTCGCCGAGTGCCCCCGAATAGCTGACAATCGGCACGTGATTCGCCTGCGAAAACACTGTCGCCGTAGTCGTAGCCGTAGCTCCACTTCTACGGCTCTTACCGTTCCAGTTCTGCAGTCCGCGAATCGTGATTTAAAAATAATTAAACACGTACAGCGAATAACTGTAATTTTCAGAGACGCGCAGCGAGGCGGTCGCAGTTTTAAAATTAACATTTTTATTTATTTGAAATCAACGCGTCGGCTCATTGAGCTGACACTCAACATGTCGCGCTTCCTTTCGCCGGAGTATGCTCCGCCATTCGAATGATTACGATGGGCGGCACGGAATCGCATCAAGTACCCTTTGGGGCATTGGAAGGACTCGCTGGACCGCGGACGGGCATTGGGCAAATCGCTAACGGTGATGGTTACGTTGATGGTGACGGCGGTGGCAATTATTTACATGCCCGCATATTGAGCTGGCCGGCGGATTACATTTGTGAATGGCTTTCGAGCGGATTTCCAAGCGAACTGACACCGCAACGATGCGATGGCCGATGATTCGATTCAGACAAAGTCCAGCCACAAACTGGATTTTGTGGGTGCTTGGCCCCCCTGGCCTTATGTTCTACACGTTCAGTGTTGTCAGGTTTTAAGTGGTGGAAAAACTGTGTTTTTGTGAGAGAGATGATTGAAAATAAATCTTTATACTTAAAATCAGGGCAACATTGCACATTTTTTCCACATGTCAAATAGTTTTCAGTATAAGAGGATATCATTTGGGCAGCTTTTCCCGCCTTTTTATGTTTTATTTGTCAATTTACATGATAAACAAGTATTTATCGACCCGGAATGCTATTAATAAAATATTTTAAGTTTCCAAGAATAAGTACCATTTAAAACATGTTTTAAATATATTAAGGTTACAATATATTAAAAAAGTTACTTAATAATCCAATAATCTTCTTAAACGCCTGAGGAATAAGTCTAGAATTATCTAAAATCGGCTAAAGTGACAACACTGCCCTGAATGGGGCAAGGACTAACCATGCCAAGGAACTCTTACTCCGGTGTCCAGCAGACATGCAACAGTTTGCTGGGGGATCCTGTCCGGTACAGACAGACTCTGTCACACCCACTCCCGGATCCCACTACCATTGTGGATGCAGTGCTTCCGGAGTGCGCACGGTCGTCATTGTACTCGGCTTAAGCGAAACGGCTTTCATTTACATCAATGCTGATGCTGCTGCTGTGGCTGCAGCTCCTGCTGTGGCCTTCTACACCGGAAGTGTCTCATTGACCATCCATCCGGCAGGCTGCGCTGTCACGCCTCATGTCTTTGCCACGGCCCCACCCCCGTACACGCCCATGTGTGAGGCTTGTTCCAGCCCACTTCCTGCACTGCCGACTTAGTGCATCTGTGCCCGGTTCTCGTATTTGTATACGTCTGCCACCTCCCCAGTGGCTGCCCGACTAACGCATTAATCCTTGCTTTGATTTAGGACCAATCAGTGTGGGATCCCAATCGTAGCCTATGCAATGCACAATGCCCTTCTCTTCAACCGGTCCTGCGCCTGCCATCGCATTAGGTCGGATCTCTCTGGATGCTCATAAGAGGCAACATGGTGTCTAGCAAATCAAATCAACTCTCTGGGCTCCAAGCAAGGCTTAATTCGAATCGACAGACAGCTACAGGTTATCCTGACACCACAGAGGTTCCCATTTGGCAACTGATTTATCCTGTAGCAGCCTGATTAAACGATGCTTAGTGGCAAGTTTAGGTGCTTCGATTAGCTAATCTGGTGCCAAATGGGGAAGTTGTGGAACTAAAGAAGCTTAACAATGGTGAAGATTTATTTAATTAATAAATATTTCATTCATGCATTAAAACAACCAACTGGTAAGAACCTTGAGTGATCTCTGCTCAGAAAATCCTGGATTTAAGCTCGCTAAAAAGCTAATTACCCGAGTGCAATTACCTTATCTTGTCCTGACATCTTCCTCTACTATTTTGAGGGTTACCGTAACCGTATCCGCAACCTCTCGAAATAATAAGACCGTTCAGTGGACAACGCGGCAGCCAAGTCTATCCCCAGCCGGCCAATCTAAGCTGGCTGCCTGTGGAGCTGCTGTCCCCAGTTTGGAGCTAGCGTCATTTCCCCATCGAGTGCTCACCAGCCCCGGGGGCTGATTCAGCTGTTTGTCGCGGCCTTTGCGCGTTCTGTCACTTCAGCACGTTTCCTGGCCAATCCATCGGGGCCGCTGCCGCTGTGGGTTAATGGCTGTCCCATCAGGAGCCGGGGCGTTCCGTAGCCTGTGGCGGGTGCAGCTCACTATTAAGCGCACGGCTCCTTTGAGCCGGCTGTCCATCACGTGGCACCGGCTGCACATGGCTGCAGTGCCGCACGATGGGCGCCAGCATTGCTCACAGTTTGTGCACGGAGAAAAACTTGATAGATTTAAATCACTTTAAAGAAACGCTGTATTTTCAGGTTTTTGGTTATTGAAGAGTTACGAAATATAATCAATATTACCAAACTAATCAGAATAATTCAGAAATCCCAATGGTTTGCAAGACAAATAATTATAGTATTTGCCCCAAATGTATTGCTAGTGTACATAGACTTTATCTGTCAGGGGAAGCTGGGCTCTGAAAACTGTCCGCACCTAAACGCGAAGGGTTCGGCATCCGGCATAATGATGGCCATCGGTAAGTGGAGGGGTAAGCTCCCGTGCACCACCTGACCTCCGAGCTCCTCTGAGTGCCGATTGCTGTTGACATGCCTTTCATTTTAGACGACAGCGCTTCCTGCTCAGCCAATTTGCCCGGGCTCGGCGGCAGGCCCGCAATTGAGCGTTAGTTAAAGCAGGAATCATCGAGCAGCTCCTAGGGGCAGGAGCGTTATATAGTAGTCGGTAGGTATCAATGTTTAAGGTTTTAACGATCTCTACTTTTGCAAAAGGCAACATCGGTAATATTTTTCACTTTTTAATTAGGTATAAATTGTATTTGTGATAAACCAAGCCAATTATTCAGCGTTAAGCCGGAAGCCTGCTATACTGATGTTATACTTAATTTCACCACGAAATTTATTCAATATGTATTTCAATTAACACTTTTAAATAAATAATTATCTTTAATTAAATTTGCGATGAATTATGACTCTTTCTCGATTTATTTTGTGTACGAATTGATATTATATATTGTGTATTTTGAAGGGTATACTCACGTTTCGGTTGGGTTAATATGCCCCGAAGCTGGACAACTTAAAGAACTGACAATTTAATGGATACTTCCAGCAAATTGAGTAAGCGAAATTACATTTTAGTGCTGTCATCGAGAAGGTCAGTGGCCGCCAGGACATTGGCAAAAGGATAACCCTGTGGCTGGGCATCAGGCGGCGTCGCCGTTTTTATGAGATGTCAAAAACCAGTGAAATCGCCGTTGTGCAATGAAATATAAATGCCAAACAAAATTGTATTCCGTGATGGCTGTCGGCCACTGTTGCTGGCGGCGTCTTTGCGTCTCCTGCAGCGGAAGCGGAAATGATAATGCAGCTGACGTGCAGCGGGCAGGAACAATTGCATATACACACACACTGACAGTCCACATTATGCCCTTGAAGCCACCATTGGAGGTGGGCGTCGTTCTGACTAAAAAGTTCTGCCAATGTGTCGGGTTTTCCGAATTTTAGATTTGTATTCTATTGTATCTTGGAAATTTTTAATTAATGTATTTAAAAATTAAGATTCCAGAAAAATATCAATTGTTTAAAGCTATATTGTCCCTGGATATCCATGAATGAATTTTCTGTTTTCAATCTGATATCATAAATATATAAGATATTGTTCTTCTGGAAGCACTTTAAAGGTTTATAGCAAAATAAAGTAATTGATATAATTATTTATTATTTATACATATTAAATAATAATACCTTAGTCCCTTTTCCTAGCTTATCTGCGATATTTTCTCAGCTCTTTTGACCAATTCAATCACAGTTGCTGCTGTGGCACAGGCAGTGGCTCTTTGGCCGTTGCAGTGGCTGTTTCTGTCTGTGTCACTTTATGCGAAACAATAAATTTCATCTCGGAATTGATGGACTTTTGCTGGCTTCGATAGCGCCGATGTCTGAATGGCAAAGCTCCCAGCTGGGTACTCTGGGATGGGAACTGAGACCTGGGAGCTCGGGGCGGTAAAAGCTGGGCGGCGGAGCGGAGCTTGAATAGCACCAACCAGTTCGGCGGCTCAAAAGCTCGGCGCATGAGGTAAGCGGAGCGATCGCGACGCGGACCGCTCACAGAATTGAGCGTGAAGACTTTGCGAACGGTTGACAGCGGACCCAGACACTGCGAAAGAGACAGCCAGCGAGCGAGTGAAAGAGAGAGCAACAAGTTTGCCAGTGGAAATTTTAGTAACGAAATGCAGTGAATACCAGTCAAGTGAATGCACAGCACAGCAAACAGGCTGAAGAGAGCTCGGAACCGAAATATAGACTCGAAGCAATTTAAAGCTCATTATGAACACAAAGGCAGGCGCAGTGAAACAAACGAAAAACACTAAATCCAGCATCAGCAGCCAAAGCAACTCTGAGTGAATCTGAATCTAGTTTAACATTTTGAAAAGTCAAAACCAAAACAGCAACAAGTGAAAGAGCCAGACAGAGACGGCCAGAGCGGGAGGTGCGCAGCGGGCCGCCAGCGAGAACGAGATAGCGGAGACTTTCGCAGCTACAACATTGATTTTTGCATGCGCACGCCAACCCGATCCAGATACAGTACCACCAACTATCCGCCACCATCCAGGGTATCTAACTGGGCCTGAGAAGCGAGTATCTGCCAAATACCACTTACCATTGTCTTTAATAAGGCTTCGAAATGGAGTATGAGAAAATGCTGTACATGCCCAGTGGCAGTGAGGTAAGTGAAACGTAGTACTTGTAGAGCCGAGCCACTTTATCGGCAACTCTGCACAGAAAAACAGGGGGCTAGGGCTGGCTGTAGCGCAACTATATAGCTGATAGAGCCGATGGCCGATAACCCATCGATGACCCCGGCTTATCAGTCGCAGAATGTATCTGTATCTGTGTATCTGTCGAACCGAGCATTGTGCGCAGTTTGGTGGCAGAAAGCAGCGGCTCTTAATTAGCAGCGCATCTCGCGTAGGCGGCAGATGTATCTCGCGAATGCGAATGCGACTGCCGCTGCGAATGCGTGTCACTGGGTGAGAGCTGGCTACACAGCACAAAAATGTTATTTATTTTAAATGTTAGCAAATATTTCAAAATATTTCCAGATTTATTTATTAGATTTAATAGTTTAAAGAGTCATAATCAGCTTCGAAACTAGGCGATTGTGATAAGAAACTTAATCTAGGCACAATTTCATTGAAATAACAAATACCAAGAATTTCTATATTGGGTCAAAGTTAAGAAATCAGCTTGTACTTTCATGATTTCAAATGGGTTTATTCACAAGGCAACCTTTAGTGAATCAAAAGTTCAAGCGTTATCAATTTATATGATAATCAGCAAATATATCTTTATATTCAAGAAATATGATTACCATATCGACCTTGAGCTTAAATGTTGCTCAAGATGAAGAAAAATCAACATTTGTATTTCTTTTCTCTCTGTGCACAGCTAGCATCCAGCAGCAGTAACACTTGCCAGTTACATTTTCGCATTTGTCTTATGGCATTTCGCTTTAATTACAATAACAGCAATGGCAGTGGCTGTGGCTGTGGCAACGACAGTGGCAGCAACTTTCAAAAGATGCTTTCATTTTGCAAGAAGTGATTCTAAATGATTGTCAACTATGGCATGACAACAAACAGTAGCACAAATACAAACAGTGTATAGTAAGAGCTGCCGGCCATGTCGGCCCGGCATTTCACTCGGAAAGTGCATTCCAATCCAGCAGATACTTTTTGCTGGACCTACTTAGGCTCCATATGTCTTTGACGTTTGTCGCTGCCAGCAGCATTGCAATAAAAGAAAATACAGAAAATACGGCAAGGAAAAACTTGTATTTACCATTTTTGATTGATTTGATGGAAATGTGTCTCCGCTGCGATTTTGCTGCTTCTGCTTTAGCTTCTCGCGCTTTTCCCAACCATCAGCTTGCAGTTCGCAGCTCGCAACGAACAGCAAACAGCGAAGAGCGTTTAGAAATGCACCACAGCCTCACTCATGTCTCATTATATTTATGGACATAATAAAATAAATACTACTGCCAGCAATTATAAATGCAAGCCGCTTTCGCAGCTCAGCCACGCTAAGCCAGCCGTCGTACTTGCAGTTGAGGAAAACTCGACATGACATAAATACTTCAGCTTGTCAGGTTTTCCTCGGAGCCTCTCTCTGCCTTCCGTCTGTGGGATCTATCCAGAGTGGCACTCAGCCACAGAGTTGGCTCTGCCAAGGGCTGGTTATCAATCAAACCGATTATACAATAATAATCACCTTTTGGGTGTGGCTCCACCTTCTTGGCTCAAATGCGGTTTAGGCTCCTGTCTTGCGGCTTCAGCATGGAATCTCGCCTGGCTTTTATGCAAATTGAAATGAGTTGGCTTCGCAACGTCTTTTGTTCGGAATAATTGTCAGTGCGTGCAGTGCATAATGAGCGCAAAAGGGATTGGATCGGCTCGGATTGGCTTGTATTGGATGGGAATGGATGGCTTTGGATTTGCAGGGTTCGGTGCCTATACTAAAGCGCATTCCTGGGCGGCCATTCTTGGACTCTCCTTGACTCTCCTTCCCGGTCCCAGGTGGGTGTGAGTCTGGTGTGTCCATCAGGCTCTCGGACAGGTTAATGTGGGGGAGAATCAAAGGCTCTCGGGCATGGAGGAGAATCTTTGCCTCGATTAAGTCTTCAATCAGTTGGTGTGTTAATTAATTTTCCCATGGCTTCCCACGGCAGCCACAACTCCATCAATGAGCCGGAACATTGGTACATTCTGGAGCGTTACAGTTGCAGTTACCACAGATATTTTGCATATTAAGCAGGCTTGCAAGTAGCTAGCATAATTGAAATGTGGCACCCTTTTAGCCAGTTGAAGAGTCGAGTGTCGAGACCCCAGACCCGAGATATTTATTAACCTTGCCGGGAGCCATTTATCTAGCATGAAATGTCGACAATTAAATGCAATGCAAATAGCTAAGAACGGCAAGAACTGCACTCGCAATTGCCCCGTCACGAAGTGGCTGAAACCAACGCCAAACTGCCAAGCGCACAGATACGCCATGCAAAAACAAAGGCACCAAGATACAGATACTCAGATACGGAATAATGAGTGAAACAGAAGGCAGGCGGCTGGCAGAGGCGAGCCATGTAAAAATAAGCAGAAATAAGTCTTGTCTCTTTGACAGCTTAACCCACGCATCCAAGCGCCCGTAGATTGTACGTGGATACCGGCGGGGGATTTGCCAGAGTATCTCTATCTTTGTAGCTGTCTGGGACTGTAGCTGTACACGGAGAGGAAAAAATTACAGCATTTAAATTACAATTTTTGGCTTAAAAACAATACTTATTTCAGTCAAGTATCCTTCATTTAAATATGCTAAAATTTTCCAATTATAATTATTGCTTCTCATTTTAAGTTTTTGTTATCTAAATTTTAGGATTTTTTTTAATTATGAGTATATATTTGCCTCTGTTGGGTGTATACCTTCTTCGAAAACCCTTAGTTTCTCCCTGTGTATCTGCGCTGGTAAGTGTATGCTTTTGCTGTTGACAGCGCACTTCAACATGGCCATAACCCCTTGGTGCCCCTCCGGCACCAACCCATTTGTAGTATCCAATCCCTAGCGCGCGAATAAAGCGAACATTCATTAAACAAACAATTTGCGCTTGCGCATCGGCCAGAAGGGGGTTGAGTGACTGGAGGGGCTAAGACCAGCAGAGGGGAGGCGCTCGTATTTGGTCGCTCCGCGTGGCTTTAGCCAGCGCCATTGCCATAATGCGATTAGAACAGATTACCTGACAATTGTCGCCAGTCGCAGCCAGCTGAACGAACACCTGAGGTTAGGACCGAGTGCGGCATTAGCATAGTTTGTTTATTTAGTTCAAAGATACATATAAATTAATTTAAATATCACCTGGCCATAACTCAACATCATGTCATGCGCTCAAGGCCTCCAAGGCTGCAGTTGCAACTGTAAGCGAACTACCCTTCACTCCAACCTTTTGTCCGACTTGGAGTCAGATTTCGATTCTGATTCTGATTCTGATTCCGAGCCAGAGTCCGAGTGCCCGATGCCGACTCCGATTCTGCACCAAGGTTTCCTTTGTCTATGGGCCTGGGCGCGCCCCTGTAAGATCTTGTTAAGTGTATCTATATAGATCGGTCGTGAGCGCGCCTTAGGCGTTGGCCATTTCATTCGTTCCATTTATTATCTGCGGTACGAGACAATGAGCTGAGTGCTATCTGATCGCAGCTTTTAATAATGCTTTTGTCGTTCTTAAAACGTAAACTTGATTTTATTATTAGGCGAAGCCACAAGCTCAGGCACAGATACCAGCACACAGGCGACAGCGACGTGTGTTTGTAAATAAATATGCCACATTCTTGACAGTGGCTTCGACTTGTTCTAATGAATTTTGTTTGAGTTGGCCAGCCACAAAAATCATAAAACTTGTTTTTCACTTCAACTTTTTGTGGCCTCGGCCAAAGCCAGATATTTTCAATTTATTACTTTGTGCTCTCAGGCTCTCTCCTCTCGCCTGTCAGCATGGCACATTGCTCAAATATTATTGTTGCTAATTTGGGTAAGGGTTTTTCAATTTGCTGGCGCAAAAGGGAAATCAAATCTGCCACTGCTTTTGACAGTCCGGCAAAATGTTTGCCTTAACTTTGTCTTCATCTCCATCTCCATTTCCATCTGAGATTTCGACATCTAGCGTTGCTCTGGTTTTATTTTGTTTTGTCTTTTGTTTGGATTCGGATATTCGGCTTTGTCTTTTGTTATTGCTGGAAAATGGATTTTTATCGGCCTGCTGAAATTTTAATAAATTCGGCATATTCGATTTATTTTCTCATCGTCGCCGTCGTCGTTGTCTATCCGTTCTGTCCGTTTGAAATGAGTCAGCTTTGAAGTTTATGGCATTTTTGCTATAATTTAATTGGAATTCAATTCAATATTTCTTTGGTGCCGGTGCGTGTCAGTCGAAATGTAGTCAACATATGAAATCCATTCCATCTAAGCGATGCGAATGAATATGATTATTGGTTAGTCAGCAGCATGGTTAAGGCCAGCGATCGTTTTCCACGATAAGAGCTTCCATCGAATCGAGTGAGTACTCAGACTCTTGGCCAATGTATCCTGTTAGCTGGCAGGTGGAAAGCCCAGAACACACACACTGTATTTCCCTTTCAGCCGTCCAATCACACGGTCACACCCACACTCCGAGCCGTATCAGTTGTGCGCCTTTTGTAAATTACTATAAAAATAGAACCGGCGGCTATTATGGCCCTGCGGTTTTTCTAAAAATACCAGCAACACCTGACAGCCACTTGGCTGGAGAGAGAGCCATGCCAAATCCTAATTGCTGCCGGGCTCATTGTTTCACTGACATCAAGCGTTTGGTGATCGATAACAAACACAAAACAAGCAATTTGTGACGTGGATTGGGTGGGTGCTAGTGCTACACATGTCGACATATCAATATACGCTATATATACACTGCGGCGTTATTCGATACTGAAGCCCAGTCCCAATCCCGAAACAATAGCGTTTATTGACAGCCGCCCGATGTTGGACATGCTAATGAAATATTATCGGCCGAAAGCGTTTGGCCAAAAGCGCCGCAAAAAAAGTGCCTTTTGTCTGCATCTCTCCCTCCACGGCGCTGGAAACTCCGATTCTGTCAGAATTGTGCGACCAAGCTGAGCCGGGCTCTCGTTCTATCGCTTTTTGTAGAACGAGATTTAATTAAAATTTACGAGTACGCCACATGATTCAGATCTTTGTTCGTCCGTCTCGGAACAGCAGGAAATCCATAGACTGGAATAACCCGAGTGATCTAATTCGCACAGCTGCGAGGATGTGGGCCCGGCATTGTCTGTGTCTGGGGGTAGAATAAATCAAAGTTTCCGTAAGAAATTCAAATTTTTTTCCGCATTTATTGCCCCGAAATAGGAATATATATTGACATTATTTTGAACTACCTATTTCGGGGAGGCTTTTCATTCAGTAAGACCTTTTTGGGGACGATTTATGGGGGCAGACCTGAGGGTCGGTTAATGGTCATAAAATTTTATATGGAAATAGTTTATATTTTAAAAGAATTTTTCGGGAAACAGTGTAATAACTAGGAATAACTAGTTGACATCTTTGCCGCCGGGACCCGCCCTTAATGGTCCATAAATGGCCCATAGCCGGTCGATTTATTATGCAGTTTTTGCTCAGCAATCACATTTTTTTTATGGCCAGTCGACTGAGTCATTGGCTGCAGCTGCTGATTCATCCTCGTCCTCGGTTTTCCTTGGGGCCTCAAACAGATTTCGACTCCAGTTCGAGCTTGGATTTGGGTGAAGTACACGGCGATGTGCGAGGCTTAGATATCGCTCTAATAATATGCATATTACGCAAGGTAATCACCGAGTACTGCTGCTGTTGTTGCTACAGCGAAATCGAAATGTTTGCGCTTGCAATTAGCGGGCAGGCGAGAAAAGCGAACTGAAATCACTCATACGCCCCGTTGTCGGACAATTAAAACACAGAAATTGTAATAACATCGTGACTAGTTAGAATTATGGCGTCGTCGCCCAGCCAATAATAACACCCCACTCTCCCTTGGGTTGTCGCTGAAAGTGCTTGTCGGAAAATCCAGTATGAGCTGTTTTATTAATAATAAGCGCACAGCGCATAGCCGTATGCAATATTCAGGAGCCCCCAGCCACCCCCTCGTGTCCCAGGTGACAAAGGTAGCTCCCTGAGAGCCGACTGCTGCATTGAGTGGCTTAATGAAAAACCAGTTTCTCATAGGTACAAATTGGTAGCGCATTCGGGCCGTATTAGCATTGCCTCCTTTTATGACGCTGTGCAAATAAATAAGAAAAAAGTTATAAAGTTTCGAAAAACGTATCTCAGATTACCCTTTCGAAGTCGGTTTTTCTATTTACTATCTTCATAAGAATTACATTTTATGCAATTTTAAAACTAAGCTTGACTAGGTAGGAATATAATATACATACTATTTAGTCCATCCCGAAAATGATGGTTCAGGACTACCAAAAAGCTGGTTTCTAAATGATAAGCAAACAATTTGTAAAACAACCAAGTATATAAGATATTTATTTAATCAGACTTCATGATTATTTTTTTTTGTATTTAGAATTTAAATAATTATTTTCTTAATAAAGTAAAGTATATAGAAGTACATGATCGGAAAAACGTGACAAACTTGATTCCAAAACTAGAATAGCCCTTGCCAGTGTATACCTTATAAAATTCAACAAAGAGGGAGAGGATAGTGACGGCGAAGAGAGTGGGAGGCTGGTGAAGTACAGAAATGTATGTGAGAGCGACGGAGAACGCTTTGATTTCGATCTAGTCATTGTTTGGCTGCTCGTAAAAAAGCACACCCCCCGATGGTCTACGGGGCTCTGGGTTTTTTCTCGCTTTGCAGGCACAGAAGGTGTTCTGTGGCGTCACAGCCCAACTCGCAGCTTGATAAATGAGAAAATCAATGCCACTTGGAGCTTAGTACGTCTCTTGCTCTTGTCTTGTCGGCTTCGAATCCCGCCAGCCGTGGGACCACCGCCTTGGAAATCTAAGGTTAGGAACCCAGTCAGAGAGCCCATCAGAACCGAGTCAGAATCAGACCAGGCATCCGAAACCGAAACCAAAACCGAGTCCGAAAAATTTCCATACCTTGCTGGTCAGGTAGGTGCTGCGAGTACAAATTAGAAAGGCGGCCACACATGCGCAAATTCCAACTGGAGAAATAAAACTAATTAACTTTCATGGGCGTGATAATTAAGACAGGTGGCCGCGATTTGGCATCTAAGATCTCGTCTGATAATTAGTGTTGGCTCCAGCAAGATGGCGCCTCCAGTGTTTAGATTTTCAATTAGCAGCCGCTACTGGCCAGTCCCTCTTTTCTTTAGCAAAAAAAAAACTCCAGTTCTTGTAGTTACACAGAGAGAAGTTACCCATTGTCTAATCGTAAGATATTAGTATTTTTATTTAAGGGACAACTATTAAGTATTTGCTAGAAACAATGATCAAATATCATCTTAAATTAATTTGATAAGCTTTCCTATACAACCCTTTTATAGGAATAAAATTATAATTTTTACCAGTGTACTGATCTTGGCTACCACTTTCTTTCTTTCTCTCCAGATGCCGCACAGTCCGCAGCTGAAGCCACACCAGTTCCAGGCCCAGACGCCTCCGGACCAGTACTCAGCCTTTGCGGATAACTTTGACCTGTCGCTTCTGCCGCAGGAATCTGCCCCCGCCCCCATTCCCACCACTGTCTTCCAGTACAACGCTCCCCAGATCAAGGTCGAGTGCGCCTGGGAGAGCCAGAATCAGCAGCAGCAGCAACAACAGCCTTATCCCAGATCCACCCACCGGTTGATTCCGCCGCCCGCCTATCCGCATAGTGCGTATCCCTCACCGCAGTCGAGTCCGCTGCAGTCGGAGTTCGCCGCCTACGGATTCGGCAGATTAGGCGGCAGCTACGACAGCCTGAGCAGCCCCTCGCCCTCCCTGGAGGCGGCCAGCATCAAGCAGGAGCTACACATCTTGCCACCTTCGCCACCCGAGTCCAATTGCGAGACTCCCTCGCCGCGTTCCGCCTGCGGGGAGAGCATCAAGGCCGAGCCCTTCGACGCGGACATCGAGAGCCTGATTGACCTGAACTCGCTGCTGCAGCAGCAGAGCCTCCAGAGCGGGCAGCCGAATCTCCCGGACACCAAGCCCGACCATCAGCTGCTGCGCGAGTGCCTGGAGGACACCAGCTTCCAGAAGCGGCACAACCTGAAGCCGCTGGCTCTGGAATCTTTCATTGGCGGCTTGGCCGAGGTGCGCGGGGACTTTGAGCCAGTCATTTCGCTGGCGCTGGAGCATGCCAAGCGGGAGGCGGACGCCATCTGCGCGGAGCTGCAGATATCGCAGGGTGAGCAAAGGGTTAAGGGTTAAATTCCAGCAGAGTTGTCTATAATCCAGTGTGCTTCCACGTAGATCCGAATGGCTGGTCGCCCGCCCAAGTACACGCATGGCTTCGGTCCACCTTGGCCCAGTTTCGACTGCCGCCGGTGGCCGACTTGGAGCTGCAGTTCTGCGAAGACGGCGCCGCATTGACATTACTCAGCGAGGAGGAATTCGTGCGCCGATTGCCTGAGGTGAGTCCAAGAGTCAGTCACACTCGCCACCGAAAGGTGTCATAGAAATCTCTAGAGACTGCCATGTTTAGTTGGCTTGCAGAAGTCTTGAAATTCCATTGGTAGATATTTTATAGCTTGGGTCTTACGTACAGTTTTGTGGGCTGAGGTTTCTATACTGCTTACTGGATAAGTTAGCAAATATTAATTTTATGATATAAATAGCTACATGAAATATTATGGTTTTTACCGAAATTCTGACTCATTCCCAAAACAAGAAATTCAGACCATTCAATGACGCCTAGATTTTTTAGCAAAGAGCTTATGACTAGGTCTTTAAATTTCCTTAAAGGAAAATCAACAAAACAGATTCGTTCGGAATTAGGTTGATTTTTAGGGGATACTTATAATTAATTCCATTATGTGCGTCAAAACAAACGTATGACTTAACTGGGCGAGTGCCAAAATAGTTGGGCATATTACAAAATCCATCAGATCACAAGGCAACGGGCCAATAGCCAATGGGGCATGAAGCATAAAACAATAACACAATGCAAATGGTCAAAGCTACAGCAAAGAGCCAGCGAGCGACCATTCCATATGGAGAGACCCCCCAATTCCATTGAATTGAATTTCGCGTACGGGGCGAAATGGAATGGAAATGGAAGCACAAGAAAAAGAAACAGAAAAAGACAACAAAGAGCAAAACAAAACGAATCAAAACGAATCGAAATGAAATGAAAACTAAAACGAAACAAGTTTCGTAACTGGCGTTGACGTCATGGCAGCGACCACGGCTGCGAGCTTACAAGCCCATTCGGAATCGAAAAATCAGAAAGCAAAACGCAAAACGCAAAACTTAAGACTCGAGCGCCAGTCTCAAGACTCAAATCCACAGCCTCAAACCCCCAAACCTGTTGCCAGCAATTAGGCAGAGCTGGCGGCATTTAAAACTACTCCACATCCCAGCTCGGCAGCTCGGCAGCTCGCCAGCTAGCCACCGAGCATGTGCTCTCCCATTTGCCAAAAATATATCAATGATTACATTCGCTTAGGCTCGTTCGCTGCCGTTGTGGCCGCTGCTGAGGAGAGTGCAGCAGAAAGAAAACAAAAGACTTAGGCAACGAACGTGCGCGAGGGAGCGAATGACAAAAGCCAACGAAATCGGAGATCAGAGAGCAGTCGAAAAAGAAACAAAATTAGTAACCGTGGTCATGGCTGTAAAGGTGAAAGAATGTGTGAAGGTTGTTTGGTGAAACTGCAGCACTTGGATGGATGATTACGAGCCATCGCCGCAGCGCAGCTCAGATGACTGCCAGCCGGGGGAGAGGGAGAAGGGGAGTCGGCGGACTGGCAGCACTCGAACTGAGCCAACGACCAGCAACGACATTGCAAGGTGAAAGTAAGTCGTCGTCGTCTGCGCCGTAGCTAGCTCTTGTCTCGTGTTGCTGTGGTGCAGCTTCAACCGTGGAGCATGAAGACTGGGGATAATTTATGCACTTGGATAGCCATAGCCAAAGAATTTTCAATTGATATACCGTCTAGATTGAGATCTGGCCAGGATTAAGGCTCTGTGCCCATTCGCAATGTCTCACTTTCGGCTTTCCTTTCCTTTTTACAGAGCGGCAGCACACTGCACGCCCAGCTCGAGATATGGAAGATGGCCTACGCTGACCAGCCCGGACACCAGCAGCAGTCCGATCTTTGGCCAGCCAGCTATGCGATGCCCAATTTGGATCTGGACTATAACGAGGACAGCGAAGGTGAGTCTTAGAAGAGCGAAAATAATTTGCATAACGAAAAAACAAGAACATTTTTACCTTGCGTTATTTTTAAACTGTTGGGACTTGCATTTTTTCAATGATTTTCTTACTCATTACCTAAAAAATAAAATTACCTAAATCTAATAGGAAATTCCAACTAACTTTAAGACAAAATTGTTATAAAATTTTATGTTAATAGCTTATCCTAACCATTGATAAATAACTTGAAACAATTAGAGTTACAAAGAGGTAATTTTTTCTTTCCTTCCATCAGATGAAGAGGACATGGATGCGGAGGCAGTAGTGACACCTCTGAGCAGCAGCTTCACCTCCACGCCCACGGCCACACCCACTTCTGGCGCGGCACCGACAGCTAAGCGCTCGAACGGCGGACGCACCGGTGGAGGCGGTGGCTCGCACATCCACTTGTGGCAGTTCCTTAAAGAACTGCTGGCCTCGCCGCAGGTGAACGGCACGGCCATAAGATGGATTGACCGCAGCAAGGGCATCTTCAAGATCGAGGACTCGGTGAGGGTGGCCAAGCTGTGGGGCCGACGTAAGAACCGGCCGGCGATGAACTACGACAAGTTGTCCCGCTCCATCCGGCAGTACTACAAGAAGGGCATCATGAAGAAGACGGAAAGGTCGCAGCGCCTGGTGTACCAGTTCTGCCACCCCTACAGCCAGTAGGTGTCGCAAAGACCCTTATTTAAGGCTAGTTGTAAGTGGAGGACCCCACACCAGACACCTGACACCTGACCCACCTGACCCCGATCCGCTGACTATGCCCGGCTAGCCTTGTGGGCCTAGCGGGTTCTAGTTGCCGCTCCTCTTGTACATACTCCCGACTCCCACACGCAATCTTGTTAGGCACGAAGGTAAGTTCGTGCAGCGATTAAGTTTGGCTCTAGTGTAAGGCTCAAACCCGCGCCCACTGGCGAAGGTAAGTTCGCCTGGGCAGGGTTTTAAGTGACCCCCATTTCACCGCGACCGATCGTAGATCCGACCCTGATCCCGCCCTGCAGCTGGTCAAGCGGCTGCTCAGAGCATGTTTGACTTACCGGCGACATCTTTATTCAACTGCTGCCTGTCCCTGCGCAGGATGGCTCTCCGGGACGACCGTGTCCTGGCCATCTTTCGGTGGCTGAAGCGGAGGAGCAAGCTCTGGATCTGTTGGCCCGCCATTAGTAGTCCGAGGCGAAATTGGCAATGAAGGGCGCAGCATCCAGAGAACTCCGCCGCTCAGGGAGCATCCTGCGCTGGCAGCATGAAGGTGTTGAGGTAATTTTAGGAACCATATATCTATGATATATCAAAAGTAAGTTCTATGAACAACTTAATAAGCGAACAATTGTTAATAGTAGTGTTAAGGACCCTCGATTAGCCCTAGGTTTCCTTGAAAGTTTTTTCTCTTCCGCAAAGGCGCAACCAAGTTAAAAACCTTTCGACCTCGTCCGATTTGCGTTTTGTCAATCGATGTCAATTATTTATTCTGTACCGGGTGGTGGTTCGATTTAGACATAGTTTGTTTCATTTTGTTTTATTATTCGATTATTCGCAATTAGCATAATTCGCGCATAATGTTCTCTCTAGCTTCGAGTATGTGACGGGTAGGGAGTTTAAGTTAATTTTAATATTTATTCGCTGGCCCGAGTCAGCCGAGCGCTGAATTATGGAAAGTCAATTATTGTGCTTCTATTTGCATTAACTAATTGAATTATGCAACGGCCAATTGGCTGCTTGGCTTATTTGTTAACCAAATAGAACAGATACCGTTTATGAAAATATATTTATACGCATATTCCCACATATAATTAGGACATTGCCTGCCTGGCAGCTAGATTTATGCACTTTACACTTTTTACGATACACCAATTATTTATTTATTTATTCAACTAACATATTGTCATGCTACACTATCCGATAATAATAAAAATCACGGCAAAAAACAAGGCAAATACTGAAATATTTACTTTAAATCTGTTGATCTGGGTATCTGTGTGCGGATTTCCAGTTTTCAGTTTGCGTTGCCATCGGACTGGAGCTGAAACTGAAACCGAATTCGAACCCGAAACCGACTGAAAATCGCAGTAATCGGAGGAGTTGCTCTTGTGCAGCGAGCAAAACATTTTAGATTGCCCTGTCAGTCAGTCGGTGAGCTGGGTTTGGGGTTAAAATCTGCACTACCGCTGGGCTGGGGGCTTGGGGTGGTGAAAACTGCACTCGTGTGTGACCGTTGCGATTTTCAATCAGCAAAAACAATTCCGGCCGTGCATCAATTGAGAAAGTCCTTCCTACATAGACATTGAATCATTCAGGCCGGATTATCGGGGCTGTATAATAAGTCAATGCTGCTGCTGCTGCTGCCTTGGCCGAGATTAATTTAATGCGCCCGAATGAGTTTATCGTCTTTGTTGTCCCATTGCCATCATGGGCCAACTCCTGCTCCGGTGCTGCTTCATTTAAATACTAAATCGCATTAAATGCCATCAAGTGGAAAATTCCCAAAAGCAATAAATTCATTCCTTCCAGCCGCCAGTCCTGCTCTCACTTTTTGAGTGAAATCCCCGCGCTCCCGACAATATTTGCATTATCCCGGAGACGAGCGACGGGTGACGCAGACCCACTACCGTGAGCTGTTTATCCCCAGCCAGCAGCCTTGGCTTTCTCTCGTTGTCTTCTTGGGCCTGAGCCCGGGCTTGGGTTTCGGTCTGGAGCAGGCTGGATGCCCTCGTCATATTTCCTGGCCCTCGTTTTGTTCTATTCCTTGGCTGCGACACAAACTACAAAGACAAATATTTAATTGAATTAGTGCAGCAAGCGTTAAGCAGACGTAGACGTTGTGCAAGGACACGCCCACTCCAGGCCGGAATTTTAATTTCGTGTTTGATTCATCAACAGGTTCGTTACCGCCCGGAGGCTTAAGATATGCGGCAACCGGGGCTTGCCTCGGGGTCCTGGCCTTTCCGCAAGCGTTATCCTTTCTTCTTGCTGCTGCTGCTGCTGCTGCTGCTCACTTGGCTAACCATTCTTATGTTAATTTGTCAATTCCAGAAGGTAGCCCGGCCCCGGCCGGGCACCGCTACATATTTTGATAATTACGCCCCAGCAGTCAATTGACCCGCCCATCGCCCGTCTCTCGGCTAGTTAGCCCTTTTTTAAGCCCCGTCAATTTGCCGTTTAAAAATAGACGCACCCTTAACCCCTGGCTGCCCATAAACGGAGACATTTTGCGCGCATTGTTGAGCCCGAGCTTTCCGCCGACGGCACCTTTAATTAGCATAATTGGTGACATTGAAGTGGGACGAGGAGCAGGACGAAGGTCCCTCGGCACGACCTGCGGAGCCATCAAAGCATGATGAATCTGCTCAGAAGCCAAGCCGCAATGGCAGAAAAATATTCGCTGCTAATTAAATGTCGGGCCTAATCAATTAAGAACTCAACCCCGTTCACTGGCCAGGAGCAGGAAAAAAAAAAGAAAATAAAATGAAAGCGGCAAGAGATGAGCACCCGAAACCGAAAAGGAAATGCCAAAGTTAAGGTTTAAATTTTACATTAGACTAATTCAGGACGTAAATTGCCGGGTGTCTGGTCTGCATACCAAAGGATGCCCAGTCCCAAGGACCAAGAACCCTTGTCCTCAGGTAAGTGAAAATTCAATTTAAATTGATGTCGACTGGCTGGCCAAGTGAAGGAGTGTATATGCCATTTAAGTTAAGTACCTTGGCCACACACACACACACCCCACACTTTGAATCGCACCGGAAGAGCTCCGGGAGCACACTCCCTCACACACCGGCATTTGTGGGAACGTAAAATAGCTAACAAGTGGCCGGGCATTTGGGTCCTGTGGCCACACGGCTGCCCATGACTGCGAAATCAGCGCCGGCCGCCGCCAAAACAGCAACATTTTTAAAAATTCATAAAAAGGCCGGCAGGGGTAGCAGGAGCCGCAGGAGCGACCAACAGACAAGTGAGAGTTGTGGTTGTTTTGCCGGGCACCTTCATTTTTCAAGTGTGTTTCAATTTTGCACTTGCTACTTGGGAGCCACCTTCGGCGTAACCGCCTGTCGGTGGTAATGAAATTACAATTTTTATAGGCCAGGCCATGAAAAATAAATGAGACTTAAGCACATTGCCCGGACCGGTCCCGGCGCTGACTAAACTGTTTGCTCGAGGAGCAAGATATCCCGGAACCGGGCGGCAACATATTCGTGGGCCATTCAACAAGTCCATCCGCCTTTCGAGGCCTACGCACGCCCATAAATATACCTCCGAATGGAGTCCCAGGCAATCCCGGTTCTGATCAAACGAAAACAGGAGTTCAAACCTTTTCCGGTAGTGTCCGAGAGGGTTCTCCGCCATCCTGCAGCTGGTTGCGGCGGTGTGAGTGTGCATCCCTTGATACCCTTTGGGCATCCTGGACGAATTTCAATTAACTTAAAAAAGTTTTCGCCGTGCGGAGGAGAATCGTTTCGTTTTTTTTTTGGCCTGTCCCTTTTAACAATTTCCCTTTTCCACTCAAGCGAAATTTATGCGGTGAGCAAATCGTTGCCTACTTTGAGGCCAGAATCAAGGGAGAACGAGAACCGACTGCGGCCACATTTAGTTTAGTTAAGTGCATTTGATTTGGCATCCCGAGAATGCCCCGGGGGGCGAGTTAACAACATGGCATTGCAATTTATTGAATTATCCGGGCCACAGCCCAGATATGCCAGGGACAATAATCGCATTATGCGGCCGCCCGGCCAGTTTATTACGCACACAGCCCCGAAAGGAAGAGCACATATTTGACCATTGGTCAAGTGGTCGGTGACCTCGCAATCGCAATCGCAATCAAATTTCGGTCACAACAAATTCCTTTCCCGGCCCCGGTCACGTCGCATTATTGGGCGTTTTTAATTAGTTGTGTCGCCAGCTCCCGAATCGAACTGGCCTGGGCCTGGGCCAGTGCCGGGATCGGGGGTCGAGGGTCGAGGCATTTAATTTAATCACACTCTGTATGCGTCAAATATTTGAGCAGCCAAGGCATTGGAAATTGCGTATGCGCCATGAGAACCTCGTTCCCGCTCCCATTCCCGTCTCCGGTCCCAGCCTGAGACTCACTGCGCTGTCTGACGACCTCCGCTCCGTAGGGACTGCTGCCATTGCCGTCGGCTGGCAAATGTGTTGACGCATTTTACAATACACCATGGGACCAACATGGCGGGTGTGCGGCAATGCGAGTGTGTGCGTAATTATGAATTCCATAATCATTTCGTTAATATGCGCAGCACGCGGCTTTGGCGCCCCCGCTCAGGATAAATTGCAGCTGTAGCTGGAGCAAGTCGAGGCCTCTGGAGGAGCCAGCCTGCTCATTTCGTGTGTGCTTATCCTGCGGGGAATTAAAAATAATTTGGGTCGTTTTGGTGTTATGTTCCATTCCAATCCCCGTTCCCTTTACCCCTTGCGCCCAACGAGTCCTTGTTGTTTGCCATTTGCCGTTAGCTGGCAGGTGTTTACTTGGGCCGACTGTGTGTGGTGTGCCTGTGCATGTGTGTGTGTTGATTATGGCTTAATTTTTAGTAATTATATTAACATGATTAAATTTGCTTTGATTTGGCAGCCCAAAAAATATGGCAAGAAAGGGGAATAGAGCCTTTCGATATTGCACATTCAGCCGGGGCGTAATTAGCCCCAGTAATCCAATATTTAGTATGAACAACGCGTGTGGATTTAGCTAAGCGGAACATTTGGGTTTCGTGAACAATGCAATTGCATCCGGGGGGAAATGCCGGGAAATTATTTTAATAAACCAGCTCCTGTTCCTGCTGGCTCATGCCTGTGTGTGTATACCAGTATCTATGTGCGAAGTCGTGCGCTTTGTTATTAATTAAAAACGCACATGTGGAACTCATTAAATGCGCACAATTTGCAAATTTATTTTTATTTTTATTGACTCGCCCGTAACCCGTTATTATGGCAAGTAGCTAACGGTTTGTTCTCGCCCATTAAGGAACAGCCAGCGGCCAAGTGGTGATGACAGGGGCGGTATCGAGTGGGGCACCGGCAGCAGTTGAATAAAAAATAAATCTGAAATTATGCAATTAAATTCGCACGTTCCAAAGCCAAATCGTTGAGTACAAACGCAACACGAACGGCTGAGGAAAATACTTAATACATGGAAAGAAAATATAATACAATATATAACTTACAAGTTCGAAATTATATAATTTACTTGCTATCAAGAAGTAATAACCTATCCAAAGATATAACCCTTATCTTAAAGCAATAAAGCAAGTTTATAGTACACATGCGATCACAATAAAAGCCAAAAACTAGTTCTTGATGGTAGAAAGCAATTAAATTATCACGTTTCTCGAAGTAGAGAATAAATTTACATTTTATTGCGGTCCATATAACTCAAACAAACACATTTAAAGCCCGCCTATAAATAATATTATATTATATATGATTTTGTTAAAAAATATTACCTAGAGTTCCCCTCAGAACAGCATTCTTTGCTAAATAATTTATAGATTTAATTTTCAAAATGTATGTAATACAAAGAAAATTGATTTATTATTTCATCAAATTTGTAATAAAAATTTGGAATATATCCAAGCAAACTTAGTCAGACAACGTTTAAAATTTTAAATCCTTTTTTTATTTTGTAGCTTTTTCTAAATATAACATATAGAAAATATTGTTGAATTTCTTTTTCAAGAGGTCATGACCAGAGCGACTTTGTTGTTGAAGCTGATCTAGATTTATGCTATTTATAGGGTTGAATTTGACTTCTTCACTGTGTCGTAAACTTCTAACTGAAACTAAAAAAAACCCACAAGCACACTTAAATACGAAACATATATTTCTTTAATTTATTCAAATATTTTTCACATTTTCCTCTGTGTACATGTGTGCCATATGGTAGGTGCAATGGAGAGGGGCGAGCTTAACAAAGGCTAACGACGCGGGC